TTGCCCAGTGCAGTATGAAGTCTGATTTCTTGACTGCTGCTTCCATAGGTGTTGATTGTGGATCCAGTATTGCAACTAGAGGCTTGAATTTCTTCTTCAGTTTTTTCAGCTTGAGGAATACTGAGTATGCTCTTCCATTTTGATTTTCTAACTCCAGGTCTTTGCACATTTCATTATAATTCTTAATCTTCTGGAGATACTCTTCGAAATCTTCTATTCAAGAGCAAGTTTCATTCCCTTCTGACATTCATTTGGCCTTTTCTTTTTTTCTTTCCTGACTTTTTAATGACCTTTCACTTTTTTCATGTATGATGTCATCCCACAACTCTTCTGGTCTTTCGTCATTAGTGTTCAATACATCATATCTCTTCTTGAGATGGTGTCTCTATTCAGATGAGATATACTCAAGCTCATATTTTGGCTCTTGTGGACTAGGTCCATAAAAATGCCAAAGTACTTAACTGATACAGAGGTATAGATAAGCATAGTTGATCAGCCAAGAGAGAATAATTCAGAAATAAGCTTTCATTGATTATATAGTTCATGAAGTCTACTAAGTAGTGATGCAAAGATAAGGGACTTATGGGGTGACCATGAGTTGGAATTGATTCCATGGCAACTAACAACAACAACAATCTAGTAGGAGAAGTCTGAGAATAACATAAGCAGGTAAGCACTGGGCCATTAACTGAGAGGTTGGCAGTTCTTTTTATGTTTCTTTAACTTTTTATGATTTGGGTGAAATTTTACAAAGCAGATTCATTGTACATTCAATAGTTCATATTTTGTTTAGTGATACTGTTTACATTCTCCACAATGTAACATCTCACCTCCCACTTCCTCCCTGTAGTGTCCTTTCCCTATGTTTAATGCCTATGCATTCATGCCTCCCTACACTTCTCCCTATGCAAATGCTGCCCTTCTGATCTCCCATGGTTGGTTGGTCTAAGGAGTGCATATCCCTAGTGCAGATGTTCAGTGTAGGCCTATCTGTTGTTTGGCTGAGAGTTAAGCCACAGAAGTGAGATCATTTCCAGACCCAAAGGGTGACTTGAGGCCATAGTCTCAGGTATTTTGCCAGTCTGTATCAGACCAGTAAACATAGTCTTTTTAATGATTTTGAGTTTTGTTCCATGTTCTTCTCCCACTCTATACAGGATCCCCAGTTTTGAGCCCTTTCTTAGTGGTTTGCATTGGTAGCCAGGCACCGTCTAGTTTGAGGTTCTCATGGTCCATTAGACTTTTGGACTGACTGTTTCCATGCATCTTTGATTTTCTTCACTCTTTGCTCTGGACAAGGAGAGACAATTGTTGCCACTTAGATGGCCGCTTGCAAGCTTTTAAAAGACCCCAAATGCTCATCGTAGGTTGGTAGATCTAATTCACTCAGAGGTGCCACAGAACTAACCTGATCATTGACTTCCCAAAGGTCACAGCCATTGAAAACTCTATTAAATTCATTTCTACTTTGAAACATGTGGCGTCACAGTGAGTCACAATCAACTCATGGGCACTAGTTGGGTTTGATTTTTGTTTAATGGAGTAGGAAGTCAATAATTTAGAGGACAGGATATAACAAGGACTTTAGAAAGGTATAAACAGTGCCATAGAAGTGCAGAGTAGGCCAAAGCATTTCTGGCTGAATTCTTATTTTCACAGTGTTTATGTTATCACTTGCATTACGTTAGCACCACATACCTAATGTGTTCGGTAAATTAAGTGCAAATGCATTTCTAAATACGCATTTGACATGTACTTTAATGGTGTTGGGTTTGTCACTGTGATGTTTATATGCCATTAAAAGCTCCAAGTATCTATATGGCACCCATTATATTAGACATTGTAGAACATCTAATCTTAAGGCTAAGGTGAGAATTCTGTAATATAAGGAATAAAGAATCTTCCTGTTTTAAAAGTGGCATTTTACATTCTCTACAAATCTTTTGAATAATTTTTGGATCATTTGTATAGACTTATGATGAAATAATAAAGATTTATGAAACACCAACTATGTACTGAACCATGCTAGATGCTGAAGACTCAAAAGAGGTGCTCATAGCTCAATGGGGTATCAGAATATAGACAAATAATTACTGTTCAAGGTTATACATGCTGTAATCCAAGTTATGCTTTCCGAAACCAGTTGGCGTCAAGGCAATTCCAACTCATTGTAATCCTGTATAAGTCAGAATAGAACTGTGCCCACTATGGTTATCCATGGCTGAGTTTTCAGAAGTAGGTCACCAGGCCTTTCTTCCAAGGCATCTCTGGGTAAACGGAAACCTCCAATCTTTTGGTTAGCAGCCATGTGCATTAACTGTTTGTATCATCCAGGGACTTCTTCCCTCTAGAGGAAATGGAAAAGACTACACAGAAGCAGTTTTAATTGAGTTGATTCTTAAAGGATGAGGGTTGTTTTCTAGAAGAAGAGGAGATAATTCCAGATGGAAGGAATGGAGAAGCACAGGGAATGGTTGTGAAAATCTCAATGGTTGGAGAAAATATTCTTTATTTACAAAGTCAATTTGGGGAGCACATGGGTAATGTGGCCAGTGCAGATAGGTTATGTTGTTGTTGTTGTTATTATGTGCCGTCGAGTCAGCCCTGACTCATAGCGACCCCTCCTTGGGTTTCCGAGGCAGTATCACTACGGAAGTAGGATTGCCCAACCTTCCTTCCGAGGAGTGGCTGGTGGGTTTGAACCGCCAGCCTTCTGGTTAGCAGTCAAGTGCCTTAGCCACTACGCTACCAGAGCTCAGATAGGTTATAGGTACTTGAAATTTCTTAACCTCTGACGACGCTTAGCACAGCCTGTGGACAAGTAAAACTACAAACAAAGCTGAGTCCTTTTGGGTACTTTTCACAAATAATAGAATGAGTTTGTCCTTCCACTTCAGATCTTGCTCCTGCCATTCTCCATGTGGCTCTGTTTGCTTACATTTTTTTTACATATTTACTTTGACAGCTTAAGCTCCATTATCTGTTCTAGTTTATAAATATGTGTCTAAACTTTTTAAAAACTTAACTCTCTTGTTGTTTTCAAGGTCATTTTCTGTATTCTAAACAATTTCCTGACTCTATATAATATTTCTAAAATTTCACTATAGAATGTGCTAAAATATTCTATAAGTAACTTCTCATTTTAATCTGAGCTTAATCTAAATTAGTAAGAAACTTCTTTGAAATCAAAACAATAAACTATCACCCCAACCTTGTTTTAATTAAAAAATGATCTATCTCTGTAAGAGTCAGTGCTTTGCATAAAAATGTTGAACCTGCTCATTTCCAGCACAAAGGAAATATGAAAGACCAGGCTGTTCTTCCTAGGAAATTCCATTAGGAATGGATTGATTTATTTTTCATAAAAAATGGACTTTTTCTTTACAGTGAATATATTTATATAAATACCCTGTAGGTTTATAGTTTGTAATAATGGTGTGTTTGTATTTTGGCTTCATTATGCATACAGTGTGCCATATACCGAAGGGCATGCCTTAAGCACATTTTGGTTTCATGCACTATTTCATTCAGCCTTTTTTTGTGTATGTACTTCTTTTATGTCCTAAGCTAGATTTGATATTTTATTTTTTGCTTTTTTTTAATCATCAAGCAACATGTTTGTTAGGACTGATGCACAGTCTTTTCTTTCTTTTTTTTTTTTTAATAGAGAAAAATTACAATGTATTCAAGTTAAAGTTTTTGAATAATCTTTCTACATTTGAGACATCAAGGTGTGAAACGTAAGACCAGGCTAGTTCTTGATTTGAAGCTATATCAATTCCAAGAATTTAAACATGGCCAGATCCCAAATTCAAACAAATATTTTAACTCATTCAACATTTTGGAATCTGTTTTCATGGAGATTGTGACAAATTAAATTTGATTTTATTTCATTGTTTTGAAGAAGTTATATGCAAAGACTAAGAAAATAGTTGATTCATTGTAGATTTTTTCCTTGCAAATACAGTTATGTAGATTTATAGTTTGTCAAGGAAGATGGGGCAATCTACTTCCATAGTGATACTGCCTCGGAAATCCAAGGGAGGGGTCGCTATGAGTCAGGTCCGACTTGACGGCACATAACAACAACAACAATATAGTCCTGTTACAGGTTGTAATGGTCTTTGTTTTTACTCTTTATGTTTCTAGCCCACAGAGCATACGTGGCACGAGAATATCTGAGTTCATGGTCACGGCCAGGGCCTGGGGTGAGGAAAGAGTGGGCAAAAAATGCTTAAAGAGTACATGGTTTTCTTTTGGGGTGATGAAAATGTTTGGAATTCAATAGACATGGTAGTTTCCCAATGTTATGAACATATTAAATGCCCTGAATTATTTTCTTTGAAATGGTTACTTTTATGTTATGTGAATTTTACTCCATTTTTTAGAAAAGGAAGGTTCTAACGTGCTTCTTCAGGAGCTCTGGTGGTGTAGTGCCTAAGGCATTTGACTGCTAACCAGAAGGCTGGTGGTTCAAACCCACCAGCCACTCCTCAGAAGGAAGGTTACGCAATCTATTTCTGTAGTGATACTACCTTGGAAACCCAAGGAGGGGTCACTATGAGTCCGATCCAACTCAACAGCAGTGAGTTTGGTGGGGTTTTTTTAACGTGCTTCTTCACTAACTTCTCCTTGGTATCTCCTTGTATAAAGTTAAAAGCCTTTCATTTTGGCTCCCTCCATATCATAAAATCCCACACCCTCATAAACCTGCATTAAAATAATTACTGAGCTACATCCATTCCCTTAGTTCCTGACCCTGCCTCTGCTCATAACTGGTTTTTATGAAAATTTAACAACATTACGAATTTGCAATGCATTTAGACTTTAAAGAAAAACTGCCCTGTATCCAAAGTATGTATATACATTTATATAAAATTTAACCTGATCGATGCGACTCTCCACTTATAAAAGAAATTGATAGACCCTCCATGAAGAAATCTGTAGAATCTAAAATCCTGATGGAAAATTGTATAAGTATTATGATTTTTCTACTTCAGACAGCTGAGGTGGCATTAGCTAATCTCAAGAATAAATATGAAAATGAAAAAGCAATGGTGACTGAAACTATGACGAAACTCAGAAATGAATTGAAGGCTTTGAAGGAAGATGCAGCAACTTTCTCCTCCCTGAGAGCAATGTTTGCAACAAGGTAACAATTTTTTCTTGCTAACATTGGGTGTTGTATAGGGGGAACTTTCAAATTCTTTATGTATATTGAGTGACTTGATGTGTTATTTAGAAGGATAACGTATGAAGAAAATACATGAGGTTCCACTGTGACAAATCAAAGATAAAACATTTTATGCTGTTTTTCCAGAGCCCCCTACTGGACACACTTGATCAAGCAATTCTTTTACATGGAAATATTTTTACTTGGAAGGTGTCTATGTGTTAGAACAACAGAAAAGCTTCCAATAAGGAAAAAAGAAAACACTTTTTAAAATAGCTAAATATTATATTATCACCACTAAAACTTAAATTATAATTTCTAAAATGTAACTATATATACCACCAAAATGTGCACATTGTCCAACTCATTACTAGTTATTACTCCCCCACCAGTTTCATCATGAAGCACCACTATATTTTGATTTTAAACTTGAAGTGATTGTTACGAAACTAGTGCTTTGAAGGTTTAAAAGCCTCAGATTTTAAATGTACTGTTGGAATTCCTTTTTTTTTTTTCTGTCGTATTTTAGAGCTCTCTCCCCCGACCCCAGTGAAAACTATTTTGTATCATGCAAACATTGGTACAAAACTTACAAAGCATAACTGTGACTCTACTTGCAGATGCAATGAATAAGGTATAGCTAGCTGATGTAAAAAAAAAAAAAAAAAAACGACTTTATATGTCCTCAAAGTGTTGAACACTACCCTCACCCCAAATCCCAGAACTTAACAACTGTGGAAGGAGTGAAAAACCAAGTCTTTAACATAGTTTTCCAAGTTTGTCTCCCAGCTTCTCAGACATATTCCTTCGGGGTGAAGGAGAGGAAGTGCAGAGTCACAGTGTCTATTCAAGGATTCCCTTGGTGCGGTTTCCTGGAGCACTTGAGGAGAAAGACTGAATTTGTCCCCTGCTCTCAGGTCACTCTATTCCTGTCGCTCCTTTGAATGCTGATGCTGCTCCCTGTGGTCTCCTGCCCTTTGTTGAGACCCTGAGCACTGCTCTTCATGACCTCTGGAAGTCCCCATCTCAGCCCTCACTGGCTTCAGGCTCCAACTACATCCTCATCTCGGTCTCAGCAGCTGTTGTCACCTGCCCTGACAAGAAGGTCACCAACTCAAAGCTCCTTGGTTCCAGCTTCGGCAGATTTTATTCATTGTGTACATTCCTATGAAGTTGCTGAAGTCACTGCACTGCCTGTGAAATGGGAACTTTCCAGTCTGCATTGGGTGCACCATGTCACAGAGTTCATTTCTGACTCCAGCACACTCCTCCCATGAGCAGCCCTGTCCCCACCATGATCCCCTCATGTACATCAGTGCCCTCTGACTGCCAAGTGAGGACTATGTCCCCAAGAAATCCTATCTTTAGTTTTTTTTGTTTTTGTTTTTTTTTAAAAAAAAAACCCACTCTGTCGAGCTTTCCTTATTTATTAGGAGAGAAAAGGCTCAAGCTCATACTTATGATTGAATCTCTTAGAGATGGTAGTGAAGAGTCTGCATGGCCAAATGACCACAGGAGTGTGGAGGAACTGGAGGGAGCTGGTTTCTGGGTCTCAGAGCACACTAGAATTTGAGGAATAGAATATTATACTTCTGGCTATTATGGGGGCACAAAGTTCCCCTCTTTTGATGAAAGAGTCAATTGGTATTACATGTAGAATGAAGAAAATAAACTTTCTTTTTGAGAAGAAAGTTTTTTAAAAAAATTAAAGAGATATTTAAAGTCTTAATCTGGTTTACATAAAAATCATTACCTCCAAATAGCATATTTTCAAAGATAATTGATTTTTTGGGTACGGTCACTGCCTTACTCCATAGTATTTAAAAAATATTGTTGTCTGACCAAATAAGATAAATTCAGGATCTCGAAATTCACATTTTATTTTATTATGCCCTGCACTTGACTGCTAACCAGAAGGCTGGCCGTTCACTTCCGTGGTGATATTGCCTTGGCAACCCAAGGAGGGGTCGCTATGGGTCGGGATGACTCGACGGCATATAACAACCACAACAATGCTTTTTCTTATGATGCACATATTGCCCCCATGCTTCTTGACAGTCAAGGTTAAAAATAAAAATAGGAACCCATCTGTATCTCAAAATGCTTCACTACAGAGCCTGTCCACTTTTCTTTTCTTCCCTATTTTTATTGTGATTTGGGTAAAAGTTTACAAGACAAATTGTTTTTCCATTCAGCAATCCATACACATTCTGTTTTGTGATATTTACTGCAGTCTCCACACTGTAACAGCATTCTGCCCACTTTCTCTTTATGCCCACTCCTCTCCTTCATTCTTTCTTCCCATTCCGTCCCACCTTCCTAGCTATATCTCTAGGCAAATGCTGTTCACTTGATTTCATATGCTTAATTGTTGTAATGAGTGCATACCCTCCTGATACTACTTTTCACCTTATAGCTCTTCCTATTGTTTGGCTGCCAGTTGAGTCACAGGGGTTAAGTTCAGTTCCTAGCTTGAAGGGTATCTAAAGGCCATAGTCTCAGGGGTTCCATCAGTAACCATTGTCTTTTTTATGATTTTGAGTTTTGTTCCACATTTCCCCCCACTCTATCCAGGACCTCTTACTGTGATCCCTTTCAGAGCTGTCAGCAGTAGTAGCCAGGTACCGTCTCATTCTGGTCTCAGGGTCCTAGAGGCTGGAGTCCACATGCTCCATTAGTTCCTTGCACTAATTGTTTCCTGTGTCTTTGATTTCCTTCACTCTTCTTTGCTCCAGATGGGGAAGAAAATAACTTCACTTTAAATGGCCACTCACAAGCTTTTAAGACCTCAGTCACTACCACCAAAGTAAGGTGTAAGACATTATCTTTGTGGACTATGTTATGCCAATTGACCTTAATGTCCACAGAGAGTATGGTCCTGATCCTTCATACCCAGCGACTCAGTCCCTCAGGGTGTTTGCTTATGACTAAGACATTTTCATAATGCTGTCCCCTGTATGCTCTACTACATTAATGGGTATATTTGCTGCACATATAAATATATAGGTAGAGATAGCCTCTGTCAAATGTAGCCCCATTTGCCCTCCAACCCCTGTTTAGCTTGAGTGTCCAACTATGCATCCACTCCTAAATTATTGTTAATACTATTACTGCAGGATTGTGTATGTAATAATACTCACTTTTGTTGCTTTTAACGCTCTTGCTCCTTCCTGTCTCTTCCACGGCCTTGATTGTTTTGTGCTGACCTTCCCCTTATTATACATGGCCTTTCCCTTCACCCAGGTTAATATGTGTCTACTCTCTAGTTGGTGATTGTTCCTCTCCCCTTCCACCCCAGTAACCTTCAGAGGACAATTATTTCTGTGTGTAAATGTTTTCTTAACTTTTTACTATAGTGGTCTTATATAATAATTGTCCTTTATTGATTGACTATTTTCACTCAGCATAATGACCTCTAAGTTCATCCATGTTATGAGGTGTTTTGCAGATTCGTCGGTATTCCTTAATGTTGCATGGTATTCCATTGTGTGCAAGTACCATAGTTTGTTTATCCATCCATCTATTGATGGGCATTTAGGTTGTTTCCATATTTTTGATAATTGTGAATAGTGCTGCAGTGAACACGGATGTGCATATATCTGTTTGTGTCATGGCTCTTTTTTCTTTAGGATATATACCCAATAGTGAGATTGCAGAATCATCTGATATTTTTATTTCCAACTTCTTAAGGAAGCACTTTGCACAGTAGTTGTACCGTTTTACAGTCCCACTAGCAGTGTTTGAGTGTTTCAGTCTCTCAACACTCCCACCAGCATTTGTTGTTTTCTGTTTTTTGAACTTTGCTATTAATACTGAGGTGAGAGGATATGTTGTTGTTTTGATTTGCATCTCTCTAATGGCTGATGATCACAAGCATGGGTTTGTTAGCTGCCTGATATCTTTGGTGAAGTGTCTGTTCACGTCCTCTGTCCATTTTTTAATTGGATTGCTTTGTCTTTTTTTGTTGAGGTATGGAAGTTTTCTATAAATTTTGGAGATAAGTCCCTAGTCTGTTATGTTGTTGCCAATTTTTTTTTCCACAGTCTGTCAGTTCTCTTTTTACTCTTTTGACAAAGTGTTTTGAGGCACATAAATTAAAATCTATATTAATTTTCACGAGTCCCAGTCATCAGTTTGTCTTCTGCTGTTCATACATTTTTAGTTATGTTTAATAGTGTATTTATGCCAGGTATTAAGGCCCCTAAGTTTCTATCTGCTTTCACTTAATTTTTTTTTCTTTAAAATTCCCCAGGGCTTGTGCTAATATCAAAGTTTGCACAATCCATCTTTGATAATTCCATAAAGTCATGAGCCATCTGCTGGTGCATGAAGAATACTTGTTACTAATACCTTAGTGGATAAATAAACTCAGAGAAAAATTCAGAGTGAGCTTTTGTCCCACCCCTCTTCCTCCTCCCAGATGTGTATGTGCTCAGATTTTATGTTTGGTGGGCTAAAAGATCTTTGAGTTGTCTGCCTGCTGCAGCAGAAGTATCCAGCAAGAATAAAGATGTTCCTGACAGTCTTGTATGTCCAAACCCCGTGTAAATGTTGGTTTTCTTTGACAACCCATGGCCTTATTGTCTGGATGAGAAATCTGAAAACGTTTAGGTTTCTAAATCAGGCTAATCAGCCATGTTGAAAACAGTGGCAGCTGTGATCTGTAGCATATTAAAATACCTGCAACTGTAGGTAAGGAGGGAATGATTCCTTCATGAACATTATTCTTCAGGATGCCACCAAAACCAAACTGACTCTGTTACCAGTGAATTGGTTCTGACGCATGATGACCCCATGTGCTACGGAGTAGGACTGCTCCATAGTGTTTTCTTCACAGGAACAGATCACCAGGCCTTTATTCCGACATCTCTGGGTGGGTTCACACTGCTAACCTTTATGTTAGTGGTTGAGTGTAAACCACTTACACCACTCAGGGATATCTTCTGTATGCCACGGACATAGCCTATAAGAAACTTGTCACATTTCTCCAAAAAATGCCATGATATGCAATAGAAAGAGCCTTTCTACAACACATCTAAGGCACTGTGGAGACTTGACTTTGCTGTGCATTCTTCTGTCACTACAGAACGGATCTTGGGGGTTAAGATACCACCCGTGAAAATATTCTCATGTGTACTCCATTGTGTGTGCCATCATTTATTGCACCTACTCTACTGGTTCCAGTTTTCCACCATAATAGGTTGTTTCCGGTCTGCTTCTGGGATAACAAGTCATCTAATATCTTAATACTAGTAACATTTGTAACTTTAACGTAAGTTCCAAAGTCAACTTCACCAAGATTGTTTCTTGACCATATTTCCTTTTTGGTTCCAGATGTGATGAATATGTCACACAGCTGGATGAGATGCAGAGACAGTTAGCTGCTGCAGAGGATGAGAAGAAGACTCTAAACACTTTGTTACAAATGGCTATCCAGCAAAAACTCGCCCTGACCCAGCGGCTGGAGGACTTAGAGTTTGACCATGAGCAGTCCCGACGCAGCAAAGGCAAACTTGGAAAGAGCAAGATCGGCAGCCCTAAAGTAAGTGGGGAGGCATCAGTCACCGTGCCCACCATAGACACTTACCTCCTGCATAGGCAGGGCCCACAGACACCCAACATTCGGGTCTGCAGTGGCACTCAGAGGAAAAGGTATGCATGCAACGATCTTCATAGTATGGTGCAATGGCCAGATGTTAGTTAACTGCAAAAATTAATGTGTTCTTATTGTGGAGAATGGAGGAGGGGAAGGAAAAGGATAAAATGGGAGCTGGGTATATGGACTTTGCTAATGTTGATCTTCCCAGATCAAAACCTTTTGAGAAGTGTGTTTATATATCACCCTCATCCCACCTCTTGATTGACCATAATATAATTTTCAAGTATCTGTCAACATGTTTGCTGCTCTTTCTGTGCATAACTATGCCTCCTCCTTACCTCCAACCCAAAAACTGGTATATAAAAGGTGGAAATTAAGAATGAAGCTGTGTTTTACAAAGGTTACAATTTTAAAGGTCAATGATAATTGTGCTGTTTACTAGCTTCTTGATAGCAGGGCAAGGGTCTGAAAATGTTCTCCTAGGGGAATGTTTGTCCATATTACAAAAACTGATGACTGTCAGAAAGGGGATGTCTATATTTGGGTAAAATGGAGTGGAAGACTTATAGTTCTTTACATAAAAGCAGGTTTTTATATTTGGTGTGTGAATATTGCTCAAAAAAAAAAAAAAACACTTGGAGGGTTTTTAGTGGCAGGATTTTGTGACATTTGGCCAGTGTCCTGGATGTTGAGTTATTTATTTTTAGTTAATGGTGAAGTTTTTATTTTAGGAGCTTTCAGTAAAGAATCAAGTAATACAAGTATTTTCTTTTTACAGTTCAAACTCACTAACTATAATAAGTCTCTTTTCCAGTATCCAAGACAGTTTCCAAATTGGGTGGTATCCTGGTGTGGAAACTGAGAAAATAGAAAAGTCTTGATTTACATGTTTAAAAAAATTAAATGACAATATAAATAATGTTGTCACTGGTGAGGCATTGAAAGGTAATTAAAGTAAAACTTTTTTGTTTCCTATATGTATTTTTCTTGGATCTCCTGCAAGACAATTTTCACCTTCCCTTTGTGATCAGAGCCGTCCCAGGACTTCAGGGGCTTCCTATCTACAGAATTTATTAAGAGTTCCCCCTGATCCCACCTCCACAGAATCATTTCTTCTGAAGGGCCCCCCTTCCATGAGTGAATTCATCCAAGGGCAGCGGCTCAGCAAGGAAAAAAGGTTAACCGTGGCTCCACCAGGTAAACATTTTTTCCTTGGGTGCATGTGATGCAAATGATTAGTTGAACAGACAGCTCTCCCCTTCCTTCCATCCACTCGTGTACCCATCTGCACAGGCTAACTTTGATGACTTATAAATTCCTACAGTTAAAGTAAAAACAAAACAAAAAAAAACACCTCTACACTTAGCTTCCTGTTTCCTTGTTTATTTGCATCCAGATAGTAATTCCTTAGGTGTCTCCAGGGACTTCTTTTGAACAGCCCAGGATGGAAAATGAGAGTTGGAAGGAATGGGATAAGTAAAGGGAGAGTAGCAGCAGGCACAGTGCAGGGCGCACACCTGGACCCAGTTTGCAATTTGGTAGCTGATGGCAAGTCCATTTTGGTCAGATTTTGTCATTTTGTTCATGCCATTATTAATGTAAAGAGAGCCGTCTCTAAAATGCCTTTTGGGCTAATTTCCTTTTGCAGTGACTCAGAATGTCTCCTTAATCAGTATATAGAAAATAAAAGTAAAATCTTTCAAGTGTTTTCACTTTGGAAACATTTAGATTTCAATATAAAATTCTTGTAGTTTGCAAGCCCTTGTTGATTTATGCTTATTAATATGCTCAGAATTTATTTTAGCATTTTCTTTTCTTTTGTACTTTTTTCCTATGAAGAGGCATAAATTGAAAATACGTGACTTCTGGCAAATAAAGACCATCCTTTGGAGAAATTTTTTCATATTAAGTATAGTCAGAAGTGATAGACAACCTAGGAAACGAAATAAACTCAAAGACAGTTATTATTTAACTATTAGAGGGAATGAGAAAGTAAAAATAATTCAAATTAGTTGTCAGCAGTGAAAAACTCAAGATTTCCCATGAGCATCTATCTTTCTGGCATCTTTTGGAAGATTTTGATATCTGGCAGCCCTGGGTCTGCATTCTTGCATGGCAGCAAACCGTTGGAGCCACGTGGTAACTGCTGCTTGGAGACAGGGCAGACTTCCCGGGGTTTGCTGCACTCACTGTCATTCCCTATTACTTTCTATTAGCCTGTTGCACTCATTTCAATTATATTCTGGCCTCTACTGTAGCCTTGTAGTTTGCCACCCTTGCTACAGAAGTTTTTTTTTTTTTTCATTTTAATTTACTATCCTCCTGCCTAAATTACTTTAATTTTACCTTCGTTCCTTTTTGGAAACCTCTGCCTTTGGCTCTGATACTTTCCTTCACTGGTTCATGTGATCAGTCTGCCTATTCTGATTAAAAGATGTGTTGTGGAAACTAATAGCACATGCTCATTGTTTTAAGCATGTTTGAGGAAACTGGTAAAACTGCTGAGTTAAGAGAGTATGATAGCCAAAATGTACACCTGAAAAAAAATCAACAGCTCTGACAGCCGTTTCTGCTTTTCTAAGTCATTTCCTATTGTTTTAGACTCCTTTGGAAAGTGCCTTTAAAGATCCTGTGAATCACCAAAGTGATAATGATTCATCAGGACATCAATTTGGATACCCCAAACCCACTGCCACCTAGTTGATTCTGACTCATAGCCACTCAAAACGTCAGAGTAGTGCTTCCACAAAGGGTTTCCAAGGCTATAGATCTTTATAGAAACAGATTGTCACATCTTTCTCCCATGGGTTTGAACCGCCGACCTTTCAGTTTGCAGCCCAGCACTTGTCCGCTGTGCCACCTTGGATAAAACCCGCAAAAATTTTCTTTTGATGCTTCAACTGGATTTCATAGTACTACCTGCTAGAACTTAGCAAATAAATTGTATGATTAACAAATAACTCCAATTGCATTTTAACAAAAGTGACATGTCAATAAGATTAAAAATTAATAATAAATATTAACAGCAGTCACTGTTTTCATTTTTGCGTATGACCATTTGATCCATGTTCTACATAGTCTTATTTTCGATTTTAAAGGTTGTTGTATCATAACTTTTATTTCAAATGTCATGCCATGAATCACTACTTTCCCTCTTGTCCACTGAGATAGTGTCCCATGATTTGTTAATTATAGAATGCTGTTGTGAACATCCTCATATATTCAGCTTCTGTCTACTCAGTAATTTCTCAAGAGTGAGCATACTGGGTTAACAGTATGAACATGTTTATGCTTTTGTTTTTGTTCCATTTTGATATTGCTGTCTAAAAGGGTATATCAATGCACTAAAAACTTCACAGAACATTTTCCTCATTTTCACACATTCTGATCTTTCTGCTGCTTAGTGCACACCTTTCAGATTTTCTACCTCTATGGTTAGTCAGCTTAGATGAGAGGACCATTCAGTTGTCTTAAGTGCTTTAGTTTTGGAAAACCAGCAGATGTCGCTGGCCTTAGAAATGATTGCTGTCTATAAGATTAGAGCTATAAATAACATGGAATTCAGAATTATCACTAGCCTAGAAAATCACTTTAATGACAACATAACATATTGATAAACTTTATGCTTTAATATTTCTAATCATTTATTTGAAGTTAAAATAATAATAGAAGGAAGTAAAGCTATCATAATAGCCTTATGAATTTTTATCTATATATCTCAGAATCAAGCAGGTTAATTCTTTATTTTCTTTATTATTTTTTTAAATTGTGATTTGGGTGAAAGTTTACAGAGCAAATTCACTTTCCATACAACAGTTCACAAACACTTTGTCACATGACATTGACTACAATCTACCTCAATGCAACAGCTCCCCTCCCACTTCCTCCCCATAGTTACCTCTTCCCTGTGTCCATCCCTCTATCCCCTCCTGCCCCCTGAACTGTCTCCCTGTGCATAAGCAGCCCTTCTATTCTTCTATGATTGTTCCCTCCATGGAGTGTATGTACCTCAGGTAAATGTTCAGCTTATATGCCTGTCTTTTGTTTGGCTGGTAGCCACAGGTGTGGGTTCAATTCCAGACCTGAAGGGCAGCTAGGGGCCATAATCTCAGTGGTTCCAACAGGCTCTATCAGACCAGCCAACCTGGTCCCCCTTTTTTTTTCCAAATGATTTTGAATTTTGTTCCACATTATTCTCCCTCTCTATCCAGGATCTCCTACATAGATTCCCCTCCCAGCGGTTGACAGCGGTAGCTGAGCACCATCTAGTTCTTCTGTCAACCAGGTTAATTCTTAATAAATTCTTAACAAACTGACCCAGCAACATTTTCTAAACAGTCTGGTTAAATGGATTACTGTAGAAACTGACTAACCTCTGTACCAAACTAATTGTGGCTTCTAAAATGACCTGTATTGTTGACAATATATGTTATCTTTTTCTAGGCTGAATTACATTGCGTAAAATATTTTAAACATTATTTATGATGCTTTGACTGTATAAAATGTTTTCATTAAGCTGAGGAAAGGAAATATGCCATATATAATCAGCCCAACGTTCTATACAATAAAACCTACCTTAAACACATGGGAAATAAGATTCTTTTTCTTTTACTCATGAGTTTAATATAAGTTGTTGATTATTATAAAATTTACTGGTGGGTAACTACATATATTAATGATTCTTTTGAAGATGAATTTCCTGTTAATTTATCAGAATTTTTTTGATAAGCACTGCTTTCTAAAACAAATTTGTAATATATCTTTTTAATCATTTTAATTAGTCTAATAAGCACATTTAGAGGTTTTTCTATTGAGTCTCATGTAAGTAATTATGTCAATAAAAATAAAATTAGATTAATTTGGTTTGGATCTTGTGGTTGAGCAATTGAGGAAGATACAAATCTTATACAACAATTTTAAAATCTAAAACATAAAATATTTTTCACAAATATGAGACACTTTCAAATAGATTTCAATTCTATGAGATGTTATGTCCAAATTGTACCTTTTATTAATCCCATCTTGTTAAAGGCACAATTTCTCAATTTCTAGAGAATCAATCCTAGGATGGAGCACTGATTTGCAACTGTAACTCACCCTTTTGGGGGAAATTCTGGCCCTTGCCTCTGCCTTTGGCTCAGCCTCTGCTGCCTCAGCCCCTGACATGCCAGAGCTTCTGGTCATATCTATTTGACTTTCTTGTTCCTGACTTATTCCTACTGTGATCCACAGACTCCACTGTACTCCCACATGCCCATTCATCTTAGTTTTTATGGGTCTGGATTACCAGCTAATCTGAAAGTGCTTACAGCTTTGATGAATTTAAATCAAAATGGACTCTGGTCATCAAGGAGTTTGCAGTCCAGCAGCAGATTGTATATCTTCATAAAATCATTATTTGTAGCCAACGTATTATCTTGCTGCCTCAACCACCTAGGCTTCTACAATAACAATGAAATTTTACCTTTTAATCAATAATTAAAATCAGTCTACCAAAGTATGTAAAAGGAATCCATTTAATTTATAGGAAAGAGATGTCATTTCTGTAGTAAAGGCCTAACTGCAGTGTATATACAGAGTAAGAGATTTCCAACTTGAAGAGCAAGTTTAAGCTTTGTTCTTGAAGTAATAGCCTAAGCAATTTGCTCTTTACACTGTTTTCCTCTGTAGGAGACTTTGCTCTTGGATCTTTTGCTTCTACATATCATTTCAGTTTCCTCCATCTATCTTTCCCTTTCTCCCTCTCTTCCTTCCTCTCTCTCTGCCATGATTACTGAACTAGTGTGAAAGAATGGTAGTATTTTAAAATCTGAAAAGTTTCTGTGATGTTTTAGATTTTGCTGATTTCAGTAATAGCTGACAGGACTGTATTAACCTTCGATGTGTAATCACCCCTTTAGATTAGCAATAGACAAACATATTTATAGTGAAATTTGCCCTTACATTTCGTTATACTCAAAGAGACATTTATTTATGTGTTTGCTGTATTGCAAGCCCTTTGTTTTAAGCATGTACTCAAATCACATTTCTTGCATTATCTCATTTGCTCTTTCACTCATTCTTCAAAATTTACAAAATTTATTGAGCAGCTACTATGTGTCAGGCACTGTTCTTGGCTCTAGGTATCAATGATATTAAAATAAAACATCACCCTTGTTCTTCAACAAATTTATAATCTGGTAAGGATGATAAGTAGG